CGCCAAAACTATTACGTAAACATCGAAATAAAAATGATAAGAGGTCACTTCCATGTAAAGTTCTGGAAACCCTCGATAGGGGTTATTACCGTCTTGGCTTTGTTTTTGGAGTATTAGATAGGTGTTACTCAGCAGGTGAAATCGAAACTGTGAGCGCAGAATTTCCAAAACTTGAAAATATTCCTGAGACTCAAACATTTTTCGGCTTTCCGATTACAGAGTTTCTGCTGCTGTCAATGCCCTATGCCATTCTAAGTCTGGTTGCACAACTAGCAGGTGTCGCTTGTAGCTCTCGTTGCCATTCTTCAACATCTTGTAATAACAAAGATAATTAGACGTTCGTATTATAATAATAATCACGTATTTGCGCAGGGTATCAGAAAAAGTCAGGTGATAGATTTTGGGGGGGGGGGTTGACAAAATCAACCAATGACAATTAACCTGGTTCAGATCGGGCTGATGGACAGATCGGGCCAGAACATCTATATCCGAATATTGTTTTGTTAGTATGACACTAGCGTGGCCGTGGACATGACGCAAAAAAATAAATGCAAAAAAAGCCAATTTTCCGTCGCACGGCCTCTATTCCTTCGGCACTACGCAATTCAGGTGATCGATCTAGCAATTTGTTTTGAAATCACGTGTGCGTGACAATTCAAATCAACGTATTTTCCCAATACAGATATGCACACTGGTTAAAAATAGATGATCTATTTAGCGAAACTTTATAATTTTATTGAGCAATTTTGAATAATATAAACTTAGTTACATGGTAATATGCTAAAAACGCCAATTATTTCACTGACTAATGTTATTTATACAGTGCCGTCTCAAAAGTCACCGAGATCAATTAGTAAAACATATGAAAAATCTATCTTTTCGAAATTCAGTATTGGCGTTATTTACTAAGTAAACAACAAATAAATTTGAACAAGTTGTTGTCATGGAGCTGTTATCCGCCAAAGTGACAAGATATATGTTACACATATGTAAATCATATAAAATGTACGTGTAACATATATCTCGTTACTTCAAATTTATGAGTACTTTGTTCGAAAACTATAGTCAATTAGCTTCATAACGATATAAAAATTCTTGTTGTTCACTTAGTAAATAACGCCAATACTGAATTTCGAAAAGATAGATTTTTCATATGTTTTACTAATTGATCGACTGGGTGGTTGGTGACTTTTGAGACGGCACTGTATATAAAAATTTTATCATATTACAATGATTTCGCCTATGTTCTCTGGTAGAGGTTTTAGATCATAAAAAAAAGTAATCATCAGGTAAGAGTATCCAATCTCGTACCTTCACAGAATTGTCAACTGGAGCGGAAGAGTACATTATTTATTCCCCCTATTGCCCCCCATTATTTCAAATATTGATAAAAGAACTCTAAAAAAACAAGGAGAGTTCATTTGCTTGCTTCCCGGTTCAATTCCTCCCTCTCCTGTAACCGATTGCGAAAGGATACGGACCCAGTGATTTAGACGAGAGGGGAAAATATCGAGGCCACAGTCCTTTTCTCCGTAACTTCTCCTGATTCACAAACTCAGTTCGAATTCTCATGAAGAAATTAAATATCTTTGTATAATAATGAATTGCATCGAACGAAAACGGAATCAAGCAAGAAACCAGCTCGACGGCCATGTTCTCGTGTAACTTTAAAGGGGGCAGTGTTCATTATTTCCAATCCGTCTGATAAACGTATGACAAGTAGATCCGTCTTTCGTGGATTGATATCTTCTGCAAACATATTCTTTGCCTCTTTTATTGAAACATTTTTTTCGATCCAATCGTATTTAATATCCGGGAATGCATTTCAGAATGCACGGAAGATAGGTAAAAGAGATTCTTTCAGATATTTCACGGTCTAAAACTCTCGGTATTCTATATCTGAAGTTAGTTGCTTCTTCTGTATATTTGTCACCGTTGATAACTGTTTCCAAATTGATTTTTGATTCTATCTCTGTATATTCTGTTTCGAATATCGTATCCAACTTCTTAATCAAAGTTTCCTGTAAAATAAGTCGGTCTTTTGCTTGTAATAGATTTTTTATATTTCCTCTTCAATAGTTTCTTTTATGTAATTTATTGTCACGTTAAATGCGCAAATTAGTTATGGTGAATATCTAGCATACATAGTTTTTGTTATGATAGGTTTTTGTGGTGTAAAAATTGCAAAGTAGAAATAGTATTTAATGGTATGAAGTAAAGGACAGGTATGTGTTATATATATCGTCAGTGGCAACCTTATTGATATATTGTCTAATGTAATACCATGATACCATGACATCATGACGATTGTTTCCGGTAAATAATAATATCAATATCAAATGTAAAATTTTTTATTGATTAGCGAGTCCGACAAGCCACATATGATGTAATTACTAATATTCAGTGAACATTTTTACTGTATGATCTAAAAATAGACAATCCTTGTAAATGTTTCTGCATACGCGTGGCTTATCGTAATTGTCATCAAACACCTTGTAAATGTTGCTACAGCATGTGACCATTGTCATTGTTATATCATACATAAAATCCTTCTAAATGTTTCTACAGCATGTGACCATTTGTCATTATTATATCATTGTTATATCATTGTTATCAATATTAATATCATCACTTTATTTGTATGACCTCCAAAAAATTTCTAAAATCCTTCTACAGCGTGTGACCATTCGTTATTGTTATAACATTGTTACCAATATCGTCCACTATAGATCGGTTCAACTAACCAGTGATAATTTTTTTACTGCGTATACTTCGGATCTGTTATTTGTATGGCCTCCAAAAATAAAAATTTTCTAAATGTTTCTACACACATGTGACCATTTGTTATTGTTATATCGTTATCGATATTAGTATCACATAGACGGACTTATCGAGAGAGACCGACTTATCGAATTTACGTGACTAATTTATATTTAGTAATAGCAAGCGCATGGAAAAACCATAAATATCCATGCTTGTTTGTGTTGAATAATTGATTCGTTTTTCTCGATTTCCCGCTTTAAGTGTCTTAAACCTGAAACAAATAGACTTACGGAGCTCTTTTTCTTTAAGATTAATGGTTTTTTTTAGCTTTACTTTCGCTTCACCTCTACTACCAGTAATCAAACAACATCCCTGACGATCAATATATAATTAGATGTTACTCAAGTAAAAGCGGCAGAAAATATAAAGGCAAAAACAGGCAAAAATGAAGGCAAGATACGACAAGCACATCAAACAAACAGTAAAATTCCAAGTAGGAGAACAGGTACTCCTCTACGGACCTAAACGAACAAAGTTAGAAACGACGGCAACCGGCCCATTCAGAATCAGAAAAGCGAATAAGTACAACTCTTATGAACTAGAATTGCTCAATGGAACGCCATACCTCACAGTCACTAGCACAAGGTTACAGCACTATAAGGATAGAAGTAGTAATGTCCATGTAGACATATAGGGAGAGACATAGATTATTCTCAGACTTAGAAAACGTTTTCCGAAGTGACTAGTGTTACCTGATGGCATACGCTATGTTTCAGTTGGCAGATCGGAACTGCTGAGAAGTGTAATTTAGCAGAAAATATATCTATAATTAGCCAACCTATGATATTTAGCTTAGCAATTTGATAACTATCCCATTCCGCTGTAATCGGTTGAGCCCTACAGAGAGAAAAAAAGAAAAAGGCAGTCCTAGGGAGAAGAGGTTTGTCTGATGTATACTCCTAAGGTTTCGTTACACATTATTCATGTGTTTGACATTAAATATGACCTTTACACGTCGCGTAAAACGCGTATAGGAACCACTTCTTGTTTCCAAAATGACTGAATTTGTTACTCACAGCCGTTCAGTGATCTGGAACATAGATCCCGAATATGTCTGTCCGCAGGCACTAGATCGTTGCCACAAATTTTTCAAGCGTGTTCCAGCGAAACAATGGCGTATTTTCAATTTCTGTTCAAGCTGTATTCAGGAGGCAACCACTTCAGTCGAGAAGGTCGATGTCATGTCAAGTTTTTCGCGTTCACTCGCCAACATTAGCGTAAATGTAAACGTGCCTTTGCCCATCAGGCTCTTCGCTGGGAAGCTACGAGGGAGTTTTTCTTGGGAATGATTCATTCTATTGTTGCGAAAAAGAAAATTAAACTGAACCGTCTTGCAACAGCAGAAGCACAACCGCAAAGTCAAGGATTTATGGGACAATTATGAACGTACGAAGGAAATAGAGAAGTTAGAGAATGAAAGCATTGTGAAAATGGTACATTTCTAAATATTGATTAAATGGGACTCTAATGTGTTTATTAACTTTGAATTCTTTTTCGTTTATTATACAGTCAAACCTCGTTATACCGAACCTCGTTATATCGAATTTTCGTTATACCGAAGGGATTTTGGCTCCCCCCGTTTTCTAAATAGTGAAATTCCCTCGTTATAACGAATTTAATAGTAAAATCTCGTTATACCGTTACCGAAGT